ACACTACAGGGTCATCATCATAATCTTCGCATGCATACCCCAGGAGCAGCCGCAATAGCCCACCCGTCGCCCGTCCGTGTGGCCGATTGGTCAAGTCAATCGTAGCCCTACAAGAAGACCAAGGCTACGAGTAGATTTGCGAGACTATGTTCCCAGTTGTGCAGTGCTAGATAGAGCGCAAGGGCAAGTTTGCAAGGCAGGTGGTTCAATGTGAAAACTGGTCAATGACCTGTTCCGATTGGACGGACTGATTTCGAGCTTTGATAGCTACTTATATTTTTACCACTACTCCCACTGTACTTTCTTCGTACTACGCGAACTAGGCTACTTGTTTCCGTGTGTTCCTCCTGTAGTAGCAGGGCTGGGTGAGTGTGGGCTGGCCTCGATGACGAGGAGGTAGATGCCGAACGGGTAACGAGAGTGAGGCATGTTTACCATCCATCTACTGCAACCTCATGGAAAATTTTCGACGATTCATGGTAACTTTTCGAATTCCTTCTCCCTACGGGGGGGGTGGGGGGGCGGCCTATGTGTCCGGATTTTTTTTTCGCGTAGACCCTTGACTCATCCTAGGTTGCCAGTTGAACTATCTCTGGAGTTCATCGACATTGCCGTGAATAAACACCGCAAGAGGCAACTGGTGGACTTTCCTCGCGAAATAAAAGATAGTCAAGCGACCCCGGAATATGTCCAGAACGAACCCAAAGGAACATCCCAGTGTTGACTTCCCTCCCGGATGTAACCACGACTTTCGCTTCGATCGCACGGACAGTGTACACTTGGCGCCCGGAACAGATGGGACGAAAACAAGCGACATCAGGGTTGTTTCCGGAAATTTCTCGTTCTCTCTTATTTTTATGTACTGCAGCGGCTTGGTCGTAAGCAACAGTTTTGAAATCGGCTCGTGTGTGCCGTACGGCACCGCCGCGGTTATTACGCCCGGGAACGCGGTAGGTAGAAAATGCCCTTCCAGGTGTATGTGGATTGGCAAAACAACCGAGGACGAGTTATAGAATTATCGTGTTCGGCGCACTTTCTCCGACCATGGGAGAAGGCGCACGATAGGTTTCTGAAACATCGACTGGGAAGATGAAAATGCCATTCCCGCACAAGTACGATACTGGTCCCCAAAAAAAACGAAAACCGTGTCGAAGTTCAGGCATACCCCTGAACCTCCTCACACGGACAGCCACCTCCCACAGTCTAGGCCTTATGATACCCCTGAAACTAACCAAGAAATCAGATGAACGGCTGTTGTCCAAAAAGAAAACTAATCTGTCAATACACCTTCCCTCCACATGTGGAGCCAAGGCGCCAAGAACAAACCCTGGCACAGCGCAAAAAGACCCTACACCGCCGAGCATTATTGAAACGTGGCGTCGGTCCAAACTTGCGGTATGAAGTGTAGTCCTAGTGGGCATGAGGATAATCTTTGCAAACAAGAGCGCATACAGTTCAACGCAAAGCAAGACGGCATCCACACCCACACAAATGTGCGGCAGCCGGTGTAGCGTGGATGGTATGAAGGGCATACTCGAGTATCGCCTGCGCACACTCGAAGAAGGGTGACTGGCAAGAGGCGAACAAACGAACCTCACCGCCCCCGATGAAAGCCAGTGAACGCCAGAGAAAACATTTAAGCTACCTAAAATACGCATTACCGCCGGCGTTGTTCGTTCGCGAGGCACAACGTTTGTTTATGTTCGCAAACGGAGGATACCCAACATCCACAGAGTACCTTACTGTGTCACAAAAGCATTGTTTTTCAGATCTCAATGCTAGCATTGTACAATTACAAGTCGCTCGTGACTTCTCCCGTCATGATGATGATGGCACGGGGAGTAGACTACTGTAAGACAACCCTGAAAAAACGCAGGCTTTTTCTACCGCGGGTACCCCGACATCGAAACGAGAAAAGGCTAGTCTAGATAGTCCATGTCCCCAAGATACTACTGATCGTACACGCGCTGGAACCACCCCTCGATACACGGAGGAAACGGCACTATTCTTGTGAGTGGGTCAGCAACACGACGGCATTCAGCGACGCTACGTGACAGCAAGACGCCGGGGGGAAACCGAAGGCACCATGGAGGCGGCCGACAGCATGTGCGTTCAAGGCATGAGCCAAGCAAATGCGCTCTCCACCTTCGTCGAACACACTGAGAAAAGACCCGTCGACTGCGTGCTTTGGAAGCAGGCAATGAAGATAAACATCACGCACTCCATACATTGGAACCCTTCCATAGTCACGACGCACAACCCGGATGGGGTGATTGCTGCTAACGAAACGAGGAACCTTCCCTCCCAGGCTTCCGCTCAACCAACGAAAGCAAAACAAGGACAGGGCGAATAGTCTAGTCTTAAACATGGAACCAAGCTACACGTATCTTAAGGAAACACCGCATTTGCCTCATGCTGCTGGCACTGTTGAGCGGAGGTAGTACCGGACAAAGGGCAATGTTGATCGCACCAAGCTTACCAACAAGAACACGGCAACTTCAAGCCTGACCATAACTCCTACCCACGTGACACGTCGAGGGAAACGCGCGAGCACACGAAACAAGTTCGTTTCTGGATCAAGGAAAAGAACATGACCAATCCAACATAGACGAGTATGGACAAAAGATTCTCGAGGCTCACGTGACCGCAATATTTACAGCCACACGAAAGTTCCAGCATGAACAGCCGCATTGGCACACACAAGAAATCGGAGAGAACATTCAGTGGAAACCGTCCACCTTCCCATGAAAAAAACAGCAGCCGAGCGACACGGGGGAAACCCGTTGTTGGCGGCAGCCATATCCGAAACAATAGAGCCTGCGCCGTAGGTGGACGAAGATCGTCGCCCACCTCGTTCGCTTTCCCTGGCGCCACCGCCTTACCAGACTTGTGGGGAAGCCGTTATTAACGAGGGACGTCCCCGTGGCAGAAAAAATCCAACGCGAAGAGCCAATCTTCTCCCTACTTTCCGAC